AATTGGATGGGGCACTCTTGCTCATTATAACCATGCACTAAGTATGTTTCTTTAATAACAATTGTCAGAGAAGAAGATTTTCAAATAAATAATGCATTTGTACAATATATTTAGAATAACCTCACCCTTACACAAAAATCCTTGAACCCGGGGTTATGAATTTCAAACTTTTTGTAAAGATTTCCTCGCTTATCATAACCATGCAGTTAGTTCTTTCTGTTAAATATCCAGGGAGAAGAAGATTTTTTTTTTTTTAAATTCATTTCCACTATATATTAAATAGACCCCCCTCACCACCGACATGAACGTCTGACCCTGGGGCCACAAATTTTACAATTTTGGAAGAGGCATCATTAATCGTCATTACCAGGCACTTAGTTTATCTGCTAAATACCAAGGAACCGAGAGGATTTTTTTAAGGAATTTATGCATTTTCATTATATGATCAATAGAGCCCCACCATAACACCAGAACCTCTTACCCAGAGACCAAGATATTCACAATTTTGGAAGAAGCGCCCTTCTTCACCATAATTATATACTTGGTTTATCAGCTAAATAGCTAGTGACAGAGATGAAGATTTTCCAAGAATTAATGCACTTTTACGATATAATCAATTGACCCCTGCCCAAACACCAGAATCCCTGCCCTAGGGGCCAAGATGTTCACAATTTTGGAAAAGGCACCCTTGCTCATCATAACTATATACTTGGTCTATCTGCTAAATACCTTGGAGCAGAGAAGAAGATTTTCAAAGAAATAATGTGCTTTCACTTTATTATCAATAAAGCCTCCCCCTCCTGTAGAATCCTTCAACCTTGTGCCACAAATTTCACAGTTTTGGAAGAGGCACCCTTGATCATTACCATGCACCTAGTTTATCTTCTTTATATACAGAGGTTGAGAAGAAGATTTTTAAAGAATTATGAATTTTCACTATATGATCAATAGAGCCCCATCCTAACTCCATTTTTTGTAGAGGGCTCAATGCTTATCACAGTCATGCCAACAGTTTGTCCAGAAGTTAAGAAGAAGATACGTAAAATTTCACTTTTTGACTTTTTAGCCCAACCCCTGAGGCCCCAGGGGGCAGGGACCATGAAATTAACAATTTTTGTTCCCCTTCATACATGTTCTATGCCAATATTGGCTGATATTGGTACAGCAATTGCAGAGAAGAAGCCGAAGATGTTCAAGTGTTAAAGCACGACGCACGAAAACGAATAGCAATAGGTAACCTGAGTGACTCATGTGACTTTACAAGTGTCTGGGTTAACAAGGCTCGACTTAACATATACATGTCTTAAAAACTCCATATTTATGGACTTAGGGTGATATCTCTAGCTTTATTAATATATAATCGTATAATTGAGTAGAATGCAAATGCAGTGTGATGTAGAGAATGAGAAGAATAAAAACATAGTTGTAAAAGTGTGTACATTTATATTGAAGTACTGTATGTTAGCGAGAAATTTAAGTTAAATATCAAAGAGATTGACTTATAAACAACTGTAAAATTCAGATGATTAACCTTCTAGCCATCCAATGCCTTTCCAAAATATAAAGCAATATCCCACAGTTGCTTTGAATACTTATTTATCTCATCGTCAGAGGTCCTGATACCTGGAATGTACGGTACTATTACCAGTTCTGTCCTCTCAGAAATCTTCTTGCAAGGATCGGTCTGTGAATCAACGTCGAATTCTTTGATCGTGGATACTTTTAGCCGCATTGTACGCCATACTTTTTCTTCTAAGTTTAAGTTTCCATTCGAATATGTTGTTGTATCTTTCTCTCTTATATACGTAACAAGATCAGAACATGTGTAATAGTCATCGCCGTTTCTTTGTATGATTGGTTCATTACTATCTTGAAATCCTTCGTATTTTTCCATTTCATATAATGCTTTTCTGGACAAATTTCTATACGACTGAATTTTGCACCGAGCGCTAAATTGGTCTGGGTTAGAATTGTTTGGAGATTGTTTGCTGATTATTTGACCAATGAACCATTTTATTTCAGGAGCATTATGTCCTAAGATGCCTAAATGTTCATCAAGATCGAAAAGACCCTCGTTTCCAATTCTTACTTTTACTCTTTTCTGTGTATTCACTTTGATAAAATTTTTGAGAATACTTTCCAGTTTTTCTATATTTTCATGCATCGGTAGAAACGAGAAAGAGGTAGGTTTATGCCCATGACCACGCTTCTCTTCGAAGTATCTCAAATACTTATTTAATCTTGATACTGTCATTTCATTTTCTTTTACGTCAATTACATAAAATGCTCCAAACGATAATACAATGCACAGATCACCATGAAAAATGTCATTGTATTCACTTCTGATTTTGCCCCACTGTGAACGGAATGCTTTTCGAAAATCGCTTCCATCATTCGTTCCACTATCAAATTTCAAAACTGGAAGGTATTTAGATTTCTTCTGATGACGTTTTTGGCATAGATTTTAAATATTACTAAATCGTCATCCTGTCTAAATCCCTCAAACAAGACCGAAAGTGCTTCATCCACTGTCGTTTGTCCAAATTTTGGATAAGTGATGCTTTTAGCAATACATTTTCTCGACATATCGTATAGAGCCTGATGGATCTGTTCAAGTTGGTGACTCGTGCCAATTGCTTCTAGTTTTAAAATCCTTGATTTCCTCAATTCTTCATAGTATATAAAAACATCTGCGCCAGTTCTTTCCCTTAATTTGAATTCCATATAAGGTTTAGCAAACTCAACCGTATTCCACGACTCGATTGGCAATAACATAGATTCGGATATGGTGAATTGTTCCTCCTCTGCATGTCCATATGTTTCAACTGATAAGCAAAGAGTAATTTCCATGTATTTGATCAAACATCTTTTTACAATTTCCTCCGTATTCTTTGCTAGCCAACAAAGTGAGCTTTCCGGTAAGTCTGAAGAATCTACAACATTTTGTAAATAAAATCTGACGTTTTTCAAGCAATCAAGTAAGACATTTGCATTGACATTATTCCTGAATGTCTTGTTGCTTAGAGTAGACTGTCTCACAAGCAGTAAAGGCAACATATATTCGACGGCATCAGCTAATGTGGTAGCTATAGAACATTCCCGAAATTCCTCTAGGAGGAACTGGACAACAGATGTTAGAGATGAATTCTTTTCGAGTACTTTGTTCATTGTTTTGCTTTTATCTACAATTTTTTCCTCTGTAATTAATATAATAAATCCATGCATTCCATCCTCAAGTTTGAAAGGAAAACATAATTTCTCGCTATATTTATCGTTTTCTATAGGGATAGCATGACTTGATGAAAGTCTATGTACGGTTGAAATTATTGGTTTTAAGTCCTCTCTTTTCACTCCCAAATACTGATTGTGATCACCAGGTACAACGATGCCATTTCCAGATAAAGCAAGCCATTCTAAATGCAGTTTACAGGGAATATTTTGTTCAACCAAGTGACGCAAAGATTGTAAGTACTTTAAATCTTTCATTCGATCTTCCTCTGATTTTTTCATTCTCTTTTCAAGGAATAATTCTACTTTCTCTAAGGAATTGGTTTGTATTTGCTCATGCTTCTTCAATGATAGAATATCAGCAACAACCCATGGAAAACTTAATAAAAGACGACTAGATCTAGTCTGATTTTTATACGTAACAGTATACCATACTGAGGCCTTTCGAATCACTGGTTCCAATAACGTATGTTTCATTTCCTCTCCACCAAATTCTTCAAAGAAAATCGCCCTTGTTCTTTTAAATAGCATAGATACTTTTTCACGAACTATTTTCTCTATCTGAAATTTTTCGTCTTTCAGAAATCCCCTTTTATGTCTCGGTGTTTGTATAATCCCACTGATTGCCTCAGATTCAGTTTTCAGTCCATACTCATTCATTATGTCTTTCAATTTGTTATCATAAAGATTTCTTTGTAAATTTCCATCTTCAGTTTCCTTGCTAGTCAATAACGATACAAAGTCATCATCAATATGGAAATCTAAAACATTCTCTCTGTGAGTGACTTGGTGTAATTGCGTACACTGGCGGTATAATTTTCCAAGGACTTTGGGCGAGTAATATGGCAATTTATCGATTTTCATCATAAAATCTGGATACTTTTGAGGACGAATATCTTTGTCCATTTGTGCAAATTTCCCAGTTTTTGGAAAATCAACTGCATCGGAATGTTTCTTTGCCAGTTCAAGACAGGAATTCGAAAATATGCCTTCTTGTTCACTGTCTGCCATAGCTAGGTGAGCATTAGCTATGATTCCTAAGTTGTCATTTTTTATGTAATTGGTCAAAAAATCAACGATATCCGTCAACTGGACATTAGACGTTGAATACTTTTTCTTTGCCTTGGGGAAATTCATTGGGTCTCTATTTTCAATTTTGTGAAACCGTTCATCCCAGCAAACAAAGTACTCGTCACCATCAAGATCAGATCCAGAAATTTCGTTGGGATGAGGTCGGGAACCAAGTTGAGGGAAAACAATGCAATCTACCATATGCATAAGATGAGGATTACGCACTGCTTCAAAAATCCGGAGATCTCCTGGATGAAAACATGGATTCTTTGTGACCACAACTTTCCCTTGAACAATCTGAACATCTTTTAGAGGTTGGTTAAGTTCTTTTGAATACTGAATGAACACTTGTCCATACTTCAGTGACTGAGTTTCATCTGATGTGCCCATCATGTACCTTCCTTTGTTCAAGGGTATCTGAATCCGTGATTTCCTCTTCAGATCATCCAATTTCTGCTGGAATATTGCTAGAAGCAGAGACCTTAACAGAGGCTCTCGAACCATGCTGACCCTTTTGTCAAATAAGTTCTTAAAATCAGTAGGTAGTGATAACTATAAAAAAAAATGAGAACCCATTTTCTATAATTTGAAATAATAAAGTTTATATATTTCAATAAACTACACTTGACAATATATAAGATTTGAATTTCACGTGAAAACAACAAAAATCTTAATTATATGTCATTTCACATAGACAAAAATTAAGCAATCACCTCTTTCAAACTCATTAGCGCTTTGTCTTCATCGAGAAGCATATCCGCCAAGTCAAACAACATCGTCTCTTGGAGATCCTGGAATATTTCATCTGGAATTCCAAGTCCAGACAGCAAAGTTATAACCTGTCTGTTAAGGTGAAGACGTCCTGTGAATTATTCGATACAACGAATCAAAGAAAATAAAGAAACCTAACCTCTTATCGCTGCTTAGAGAAATGAGGACTTGTGAAAGATATACTTGTCAATGAATTTATTCCCAAAAAAGACTCTTTTCCTTGTTTTCAATGACAAATGTTATAAAATTATTAGTGCTTGATAATCAAAGAATTATTATTTTAAAAAAAATAGTTCTATTTCCCTGATGAAAAAAAATCAATTTTAATAACATTCTACAACAATGATTCAATTTTGAGAACTTTTTTTTCTCGAAAACAGGCATTTTTTCACAAAAGGATAAAAAGACATAGTCTAATTCATTAATTCTACAGAATTCCATTATAACAGTAACCCGTTTGTTCTCCAAAGTCCAATAAAAATATTTTTAACGATTTATCAAGAGGCCCAAGGGCCTTAATGGTCACCTGAGTATATAACGATTCATAAATTTAAACAAAATAAGGTGATAAATGAAACTATATTGCCCAAAACCAAGAGAAATTGGATAATCAGGGATCAGAAAAATACTAATTAAGTACTAAGTAACAAATCTCAAGGTTGAAATATTTATTTGCCTTTACTTTCCCCCACTTGTCACTATCTTCATGCGGACTAAACAGAATAATATTTCTAGAGCACTTATAGTTATCACATTTTATTTCCCCTCACATTGGCCTCTCTTAGTATTTATAGATTATATAATGTACAAAGATACAGTATTGCTATCCTATTTTCATTTATCTATTATTTAAAAGTCTATCTGATCATTAAAAATTAAGAAAGTAATATTAGTATTAATTATTATAAATATTCTTGTATAATTATGTTATTTGATTGACCTTTAAAGTTACATTATTTACAGTGATTAACTATTATAGGTGAATAGCAAAGGGGAATAACTTCTTTCAGTAGCAATTAAGAAATTGACCAAAATGTACAGAATTTAATAATCTTGTGAAACACCCTTGATTATTGCAACTTAATGTTCTCTGATTGCCTTCTAGATTCCAGGAGCAGAGAACACTTTTAAAGACAAAATCCATTTTCACTGTAGATTCAATATAGCCCTACCCTAATACCAAAGGCCCTGACCTTGGGGACAAGATATTCACAATTTTGGAAGAGGCACACTTGCTCATCATACTATTCACTTAGTATATGTTTCCTTAATAACAATGGGCAGAAAAGAAGATTTCCAAAGAAATAATGCATTTCTACTATATATTCTAAAGAGCCTCACCCTAACACCAATATCCCTGACCCCAAGGATATGAATTTCAATTTTTTTTGCTCATCATACCCACGCAATTAGTTTTTCTGTTAAATACTCAGATGATTTTTTTTAAAAATACAATTTCCACTATATATTCAATAGACCTCACCCCATCCCCACATGAACCCCTGACCCTGGGGCTACAAATTTCTAAGTTTTGAAAGAGGCATCTTTGATCATTATAACCATGCACCTAGTTTATCTGCTAAATACCCAAAGGCAGAGAAAAAGATTTTCAAAGAATTAATGCAATTTCATTACATAATCAATAGAGCCCTGTCTTAACACAAGACCCCGTGATGCAGGGGTCAAGATAGCAACAATTTTGTAAGAGGTGCCGTTGCTCGTTATTACTATGTATCTAGTTTATCTGTAAAATAACCGGGAGTATTTTCAAAGAAATAATGCACTTTCACTATATAATCAATAGAGCCCCCCCCCCTTTCCTGCAGAACCCCTCACCTTGGGACCATAAATTTCAAAATTCTGAAAAAGGCATCCTTGGTCATCATAACCATACATGGGTAGTTTATCTGCGTTATGTACAGGGAGAGAGGAGATTTTTGAAGAATTAATGCATTTCACTATATGATCATAAGAGCCCCGCCGTAACTCCAGAACCCCATACTCTGGCAATTAATTTCACAATTTCGGTAAAGGGCGCAATGCTTATTAAAATTATGCCAACAGTTTGACTACTTGATGTCCAGGAGTAAAGAAAAATATTTTTGAAGATAGCGCTAATTTTGACGGTTTTAGCCCCACTCCTCAGGCCAAAGGGGAGGGGGGTCAGGGACCATGAAATTCACATTTTTTGTACCCCTTCACCCATTGATTCTATATGCCAAAATTGGTTAAAATTTGTTCAGTTGTTCAAGAGAAGAAGCTAAAAATGTTCAAAAGTTTACGACCGACGCACGACGCACGTCGCACAACGGACGACGAAGGACGAAAACAGAGAGCAATAGGTCACCTGAGTGACTAATGTGACCAAAAATGTGTGGAAGAAAGGAAAAATAAGCTAATACCTGGACGTGAAACCTGTAACACTTCCAGACTTGTCGAATTGGATTCAAACTTTTTCATACTGTCCCTAATGACAAGGACTTCCCTCTCCGTTCCCAAAGAGGGATCTTGTGCGACTACAACTTTACATCCACCGTAGCGTATCTGGAACGCAGACGGTACAGCCTTCAGCCCCATTACCTTGGCAACCTAAATTAAAATTTAAATGTATTACATGTAATTTTAAGTCAACGTGAAAATAAAAAATAATTATACCGATTAAATGATTCCTTCTTATAGAAAATTGTCTTACTTATTTGTAGTTTTTGTGTCGCCTGCAAGGCAGAGCGGCACTAAGGGATCACTTTACCGGCATCTGTCTGTCTGTCCGTCCGTCTGTCACACCCTATATCTCAAGAACTGTAAGAGGTATGGATTTGATATTTTGCACATATATTGATTGGCACTATGGCTTTTGTAAATTACCATGTTTACCGACCATGTGACCTTTGACCTTGACCTTTGACCTACTTTTCAAAATAGTTCATAGTGCCGATATACAGCATCTTTTTGACATTTAAGAGATAAGTCTATGCTATTTAGAATGTGCACTGTTTGTCATAAGACAATATGAAAAATACTAGCATTGCAATTCTCTTGACCTTGACCTTTGAATTAAATTAAATTAAATTTCGTATTTGCACTCGGGAAAACTTCAGAAACATTATGAAAATGTTGAAGTATGTCAAAAGTGAGTTGTGCACTAGTGTATAAATGACACAGGAGGCTGTTGAGTGGTAGAGACGATATCAGACGATATACTGTCTGTTATGAAACCGGCTATCTGTAAAAATCTGATCAAATAATTAATAAATCATGGAAAGAGAGATGCACGCTTCACTGTTGCGGATCTGATGAAAGAAGAGTTACGCGGTTAAGAAAATGAAAATACTGCCAAACAAACTTATGCTACTGAAGGCATTGTTAGGAAGCTCAATACAAAGTGGCATAGATTTTTTAACAAGTGGGTATGGCGCCAGGCTGTAAAATGTATAGGGAGAGTTTTTTTTGAGAAACTTATTAATTTATGTTTTTGACGGTACAGTGCTGTTTAGTGTGCTCCATGGTAAAAAAAAAAAATCATATCTATTTTAGAATTAATTAACATGACTTCCAGTCAACATTTGGGAAAAAAAACTTCATATACTTATTTATTTATCTATTTATTTATTTATTTTCTATTTATTTATTTATTTTCAGATATTTATAAAACTATATAATATAATAATATATTGCACTGAATTCATCATTTTTATCCCATTCTTACGCGAACAGGTATTAAACATACACAAGTTTCTTTTCTAAGGAAAGTTTCAATTTTTACTCAAGAAAATACCTCTACCTTGGCAGCAAGTTTTGTTGAAATCTTTCCAATGCCATCGGTAAAGCAAAATCCATTTCTTTCGACATCACTCTCATAATGAACCTCTTCCGCATTTTCTCCTATGTTTAATGTGTGGAAAGATGATGAAAAGCAGAGTCCAAAACGGGATACATATGAAGCAACACATCTCTCTTTAGATAGGTCACCAGCGTTTTGTCTAATTAATTCTGTCGTAATTCCACCATACGAACTGAAGAACCAAAAACTATGTTCTCTAAGTTGACTGTTGGAGCAACCTAAAAACGAGTAATGGCGGTCATGAATAGTGAATCCGTTCAAGAAAATCCGTTTCATATCCATCAAAACGTTGTTGAGTGCATTGGACTGCATTGCACCGATCTTCTCAAAATTATCATCTCGATAAACGAGCCTAACAAAGAAATCTTCATTGTATTGTCGAACAATTCTATTCTGAAATACAGGTTCCTTTGGCATGAAAACAAATTTTGATGGTGTTAGCAATACTCTTCGTACCATTGAATAATTTTGAGGAACGTCAGTCCCATTATCACGACCTTTACATGTATGATCAGTCATTTTCAACGCTGCAGTTATCTCTTCTAAAAAATGGAAGAAAGGTTTTTCAGCTATATTTTCCATCATTTTGAAAAGCACTTGAGCTGTGACTTTTCTTTGGCTTAGATCGTGTATGATATCTTGAGTAATGTGGTCTATGACTTTAAAACCCATAGAATACAACGATTTCCATGCGTATGCTGTTTCAAAATCTTTCAAATATGGTTTAACCTCTTTATTGAAATTTTCTACCCTCATTCGTGCGAAAACAACGTGAATGTCCCTGTACTGTATATACCAAAGTATTCTCGACATAACCGGACTATCAGTTTTAAACTTCAGACAAAAACAATTTAAATAACCAAATTTCGCAAAGCCAAATTCATCGGCTGGAATCCTAACTGATTTTGGTTCATCATTAAGCACGTGATAAAATGCGACCTTGAATAATTTAGGGCTAGATCTCACATTGATGTAGACATATGTGTCACTGTCTTGTATATCTATTGTGACATAGTCGTGTATGAAGTCTTTTGTTATGTTAAACTCTATCCTAATTTCATAGTTTATTATCTCCAAAAGAGATTTTTCCTGTAGGAATTTTAAAGATGCTTCCATATGCCAATGTTTCACAAAATTGACCGGAGAAATCATGCTTCCGCCATTGATTTCGATATTATCTTCTTTTAGTGAAACAGGTTTCATGTAGAGATGTCTTTTTGTAGGAATGACTTGAATCCATGACATGTATTCGTCTGGTTGTATATGTTTCTCCCACACCTTGTGGACACAAGTAACCAGTTCTTTTCCCATTGAGGATTCAATAGTGAGTGCACATCTCATATCATGGTCAGGATAGGCATTGTCCTCATCTGAAAATTAATTAGTTAATTACTAAATAATTGTATTAATTCACAGCTAAAATTTACCACGTTTTTCTTCTCTCCATTCAAGAAGATATACACAACCATTAATCAGGAATCAAAGCAACATTTGAATCGGAACAGAGACTCACAACACTACATCCATCCTATTTGGACCTCACATATGTAGTACTAATCTACAACACCCAATACATGTTTTTTTCTATTTGTTATAAACTAGGGATGTCAAATCGGTCAGTTTTTGATAATCGATTACTCGGATGTTTTTCCGATCGAGTACCCGGGTACTCGGTAAAAATGAATATACAAGTGTGTTAATTTTTGAGCCCCATTAATGTTAATTTTCTTGAGCCCCATTAAGCTCTGTTAAACCCCAAAGCTGTTTTTATCACGTTTATAAATGTACATAAACAATCGAGTCCAAGGGAAATGATTTTTTGGTACTAAATTTATTTACAAAATAAACACAAAAGACAAAATTAACACATCAAAAATTACAAATGCTTTACAGTTCTTGTTTAGGATCTATTTCACCAACGCAAAAGGAGGACAATCTGTTACGTGGTTTTGACCAGCGAAAGGGAAGGAACGGACGTTGTTGGGATCGCTTGTCTAATATTATTCCATATGTTGGTTGTTTCCTCTGTATACAATAAACTTACTACGAAAACTGACTTTCAACATTTTTAAATCTTTAGTTATTTCTAAATATTTCTTCACTTTTGAAGAGGGTAGCGGCATTTCTATGCATGTCCGATTTTGCTGCCGTATATTAATTAGATAATTTAAAAATGATTTTAAGATAATAGACCATATTTAAACGATGTTCACTGAAAACAATCATTAAAGCCATCCAAAAATTAAGGACCACAATAGGTGAGAACAGCTGTGTACCAGGTGATTGGTCACTAATTACTGTATATACACAGCCAAAGGCCAAAACGGTTGTTTCACAAGTGTAGGTGACGACACGCTATTTACCGTATTCATGTTTAAGTTATTTTTTGAAGTTTTTGATAAAAATATGTACTTTGAAATTTTAAGAAAAAATACACTTCCGAGTAACCGAGTACCATTTTTAGTATTCGATACTCGGACGTTCGATCGAGTACCCGGTTAACCGGGTACTCGTTGACATCCCTATAATATAAACTAAACATTTAAAGATACCTGGGGACAGCATATCTCCGGCCTAGGCCAACAAACAAAATTTACTTTCTGGAGACTCAGTAAAAATTTTACATCATTGAACAGGCAACACAGGTGTTGGTTTTGCTTTCTTGCATTTCTATTTTGAATTTTAAAGATTAAACGACTATATATTTTTTTTTATCAATAGACCGTAAATTTCCCTCTTTTCTTAAATATAAGGGACTTTCTTTGAATATTTTCTAAGGTGTGTTTTCGATATCATTAACACCTATTACTTCCGACATCACTTTTGATATTGGAAATTCAGCTCAATACCGTATAATTGGTTTTATTTTTTTCTGCGGGTACGCTTGTTTTTGTGAAATTCTGCTGTAAACTCTTCAACTCAAAAATTCATTGGCAGAAACTACATTAATTTTTCCCGTGTGAGGCCCCAACCCTATTTTAATGCTTCGTTGCGTAATACAGGTACTTTGCCGTCATCTATGTAGAAACCAGTAAATACTTAGCATTCACACCTTGCGTTTGCAAATATTTGAAACTTCTGGGTAAGCTACCGGACCATTAAACGAATAAAACGGACAAAAGGCTGATGTTCTTGACAAAAAGACTCTGAAGGGATCGAAGGTATATTTTTCGTTGGCTACAAATACAGTATATACTTATAGAGATATAGAATACAACGTATAGTACGGAGTTTTTCACACCTAATAAAAAACCTAGATTCTATGTACAACCCTAATTTTCAGCTTGTATACAAAATGCTTGATTATTGCGTCAATTTTACACACAGTAGACGACAGATATGTTACGCTGCATTGCAGCTGACACCTGTAGATTTGATATTAAATTTTTGGTCAGGTTATTTAGTTCATAACCTGTCTGTTTAATTCTTCAACAGTTTATCAAATTACATGTATGTTAGCTTTATAAACATAAAATTCCTTCTACTTGCATGTCCACTGTCGACTTCATTTCGGAGAAAAACAGGGTTGTAGTCAGTAAGTCTGATGAAACGATGAGGTGGTTAATGATATTAATTAAAGAAATCAGAATTAAAATAAATTTTCTTTTACTTTAGTTTTTTTTTTCAACAAACTACGGACTCGATTCTTTTTAGGTGTTGGGGAGAGGGGGTTGTCATTTATATCATTTATTGATATATTTGTCTTTCTTTAAACAGCTATTAAAATTAAAAATAGTGTCATTTGAAATGCTTAGTCATAGTTTGAAATCACAGAAAATACATGTACCTTTTTAGGAAACAAATCGTTAAAAATTTGCACCCGCAAAAGGATGTTTTACGGCATCCTGGAAAATCTTTCATGTTTATCAACGATAACAGTCAAATGATATAATTCTCATAATGCTAGTCTACGGGACTCTTTCCCTGCCGTGACATACATGTTTCGATAACCCTTTCCTCAATTTGCAATTAATTTTGATGAAATTGTTGGGTTTTTTTTTTTTTCAAAAACCCCGCAAACAGATAGATAGACTAACATAGTTGACAATTCACCATCCATTAACTGCGTGAGAATATCTGTGTTTTATCTAAATATTATGATTAATCAAACATTATGCTATATTAATGTAGATGGTTTAAAACCTGATGTAATTGTACTTATCATCATAACACTTATTCGAATAATTACATTCCATCTCTTAGTGTGAATTTCCTATGTTGATTAATTAACAGTCAATAAATGAATTTAAATCGGTGAAGAAAAAAATCTTTTCTTAATTTTTTAATCGTGTATATACAGTTGAACTTCGGTATCTCGAACACTGATATCTCGAATACCATGGATATGTTAAAATGATTTTGAAGTCCGAACCACATATTCTTTAAGTATTTTACCCCTGATATTTCGAATCCTCGGAAATCTCCGTTTTTACGGTCCCATCTAGTTCGAGATAACAAGGTTTGACTTTAATAAATCAGAGAAACGTGTTGTATCCGAGGTTCCATTTCTCTGTAAAGAATGATATTGTCAAAATGTTACCAAAAAAATACATAAAGGTTATTTCAATTACTTATTATACAGAAATGAGACTATTGTAGCTGATTTTACAGAGGAAGACAGTCAGTGTACCTTTGTGGCAACGCACTTTGAAGAAATTTCGCACTTTGAAAATTTTTTTCAAAGTGCGGTAATTTTGGGACAAAATCAACGCACTTTGAAATTTTTTTTCAAAGTGCGGTAAATTTGGGACCAAATCAACGCACTTTGAAAAAATTAAGAGTGTACATCATAATTTTTGAACCATGTACACACGTAACGCACTTTGAAAAAATATGTATAAAACAAAAATTTTGGACTTAAATTTTAGCAATAAACAACATTATTATCCCCTCGCAACGTTTGAGGGGATATAGTAACGCGATTGTGTGTTAGCGTGTGTGTTAGTTTTTCCTGTGCGAAACGGAAGTGACGCAATTTGCATCGGGATCGATGTCAAATGCTGCCTTGATTTATAGAATATGCTTTTGGGGAAGGAATGCTCCGCTTTGCGGTGCCCTTGTTTTGTTGTATTTCTTTCTAAAAACTGATGAATTGATCAACCCTCATCGACAACGAAGAAAAGACAGGTTGAAGATCCCTCAGCTCAACTCTTTATCATTCCTACCAAGATATATTTAATATTTACATAACTCGTACATCTAAAGGTCATATTTTAAGAAAAAAAATAGAACATTTTAAATACAGTAAAAAGCACTGTATAAGGAAGTCTTTAGTTAATCGAAATTTAGTTCTTTTAAAACTGAAAATCTATTTATGTTCATTTTCAGGAAAATCAAATTAGCTCAAACTCCTAGGTCAAGGTTAAAAGTTCAGATATGTTGTTACCCAAAGAAAGGCCACAAGAAATACGCATGTGGGACATGAAAGTCAAAGCTCCGCCCAATCAAAAGTTATGGACAAGGTTAAAGTTTTTTGCGGGCGGACAGACAAACAGCTAGACAGACAGACGGACGGACAGGGCAAATATTATATACCAGAATCTTAGAATTTTTTTTTCATTTGATATATATCTAGCCTTATTATGATATTAAAAATTTAAGAGTTCCAGTCGAATGAGTATTGTGGCTAATGTTTTATTTTATCACTATCAAATTAATCAGTCTAGCGTATGTTCATATTGAATATAATAGATATATACATGTATATAGAGAGAGAAAAAGAGAGAGAGAGAGAAAGAGAGAGAGAGAGAGAAAGAGAGAATTTTCATGGTAGAGAAAAATCATAATTGCTCCTTTTTCCCAAAGAAAAATGCCATGCTTTAAGTCACATATCGACCCCTTCATCCACTGAACTTATTACAGAATGGATTAAATAAAAAAGGAACGAAATTATGCAATCATTTCTAAAAGACCTTTTTCCCTTTTTACGAGAACTGTCGGGAAGAAAACAACCCCTAGAAATCTTTAAAACGTCTATATCTCAGATCCTGAAGTGACATGATCACTGAAAAAGTATTAAACCAGGTTCAAAAAATTATTTATCATACCTAAAATTTGCAAGAATATTGACCAAGCCGTGCACATTTTTTTTCAAAGTGCGTTAATATGGTCGATATTAACGCACTTTGAAAAAAAGTAAAATTTTTCAAAGTGCGTTAACGTGGTCCCAAAATTAACGCACTTTGAAAAAAATTTTCAAAGTGCATAATTTTTCAAAGTGCGTTGTAACATACCTTACGACTTCGAGATATGTACATGAGAATTTAATATATTTTTTTTGCATGTATAAATTTATGAGTTTGTTATAATCAATTATTGCGATTACGTTTTAGAAGAGTATAGCTAACTGCCATTAGTATAAGCAAAGCTTGTTATAAAGATTAGATAGGATAAAAAAAAGAATATTGAAGAAGTTATCTTTCCGTATCACTTTTCTGTAATATATCTACATATAGATAAGACAGGATTAGTTTCTTTAACTCTACAGTGTACATGTTTCATCATAATGAAAGACATACTTTCATTTTATCTATGCTGCATGTCCTTAACTTCATACTATATCATTACCATCCATAAGTCAGTATTTTGTTTCTATAATCCATGTTTCGTTTCTCTGTATTTTTTCTCTATTATCACAATATAAGCAGGGCTGATTGTAATATTCAGAGTTAAGAGAGAAAGAGCATAATGCATAATACAATTATGTTTTAAAATGATAGGTGAGCCAGTAAAAACAGAAGTAAATTTGCGAAGCACTGCTTTATTTTGCAGAATTGATTAATTATTAATAGGAAGACCTGTGCTTGGGTGGAGAGGGGCTCTCAAATCAGAATAGTAAAACATGAGTGGCTTTCACGTCGGCAATGGTATCAATGTGCTATAAATAATCTGTCATTCACTGTAATTTCAATATACACTGTAATAGTCAAATTCTTCTGTAATTTCAAAATAGCAACTAAAGCCTTCAATGTTTCACAATAATGTCTTACAATGTGATTAAAAAGTTGTACAGATAAATAATGGAGACAGGAAGAATTTTAAGCATCATAGAAAATTAACAATTTCTTAGTATTTAAGAAATTTGATATTTGCATCATTTACAACCAAAATATGTCAAAAAATATATATTAATCCATCCTTCCATTATTGTTTATTATCATCTGTCCTTAAGAGATCGTTAGAACCAATGAGCACCTAGTTTATAAAATATTCTAGTGTGGTACACTTTTGTTGCAATCACATCTTCTCAGGCCTTTTTTGCATCATGCACTGGACGTAAAGATTTTACACAAAATGAATCGCTTTTCATCAATTCATTGACCGCTCTCAGTAAAATTAACGGCTGGACAAGTTGACTTTCTCTACTGTAGTCCAAACGTTGCATTCAATGAAAATTAGCTCCAGAAAAGAATGCCATATAAATGTATTTCAATTTTTTGTGAAAAGGGGGTTGTCATGGACGGCTGATTAGCACATTCCAGATTGTTTTTCCAATCTTGCCATAAAGATTCGAGAGGGTTGTTAGCATTATTAATTTTAGACATACATGTAACTGATCTTTTTCAGTCTTAACGTAATAGGGCCTAAGTAATACTTCTTTTGTGCTGATTAAAGAAAAAAACACAAAACATCCACAGGATGAACCTACATCATTCAATCAAGTGAATGGTCCTTAAAAGGTTTTAGAAAGGTCACTGAATGGTAGAGCTCTGTCATTAAGTCACATTTCAGTTGCCTTTCAGTCTCCTTTCAGTTAACTGAATGACAGAGTTTCATCATGTGTCAGATAAGATGTATTTTTAGAAGATAATTCCAAACTGACATGGTATTTTTACCAGAATGCCATACCGTATATTCAAACAGTCGTATTCTAGTTAAAAAAAAAAGATTAACGTAATTGTTTGTGTTCGAGAGCGCTAGCAGTAAGTAAAATACTTGAAGATTTCCTAAAGGACAATGATATTAAAATGTTTAAGTTACCTACGTTTTGTCACTTATAACAAAACAAGGAAAATATTTATTAAATCAACGTACGATATCCTTCATTAAAATTATTAAATAAAGAATGATATATTTTTACATGAAAGTCAGAATTATAAAATAAAATAAAGTGATTAGTTTTTTTCTACCTGTGGTCAGATATCCTTTCTTTATCAGCTTTATTGTAGTTGGTAAACTGTTGATGAATTTTCTTACTGATTCTCCGTTTTTAAGGTAAAACAAATTTATGGTAAACTGTTCTTTCCGTGGATGAGATCTGCTTTCCTTTAACTCGGCCATTATCAACGAATTTCTCTTTCTCGTATCAACCTAAAATACTGATGTTTAAAAATAGCGTTTAAATAAGGAGCATACAAACGATTACGTGGAATTCAGAACGAAACAAGATATTTTTCCTTCTTCCATTTGCTCATTAATACACGCCATTTCACGAACATTACTAAGAAGATAACATTTATTTACAAGGAAAGGAAGTATTTCCTTAAAGAATTAAAAAACATTTAAAATGTCATAAATATTTTCGATGATAAGAAAATATCTGACTTTTTTATTCAATCAAAAGACCAGCCAAAATATGGCTGAAATACTGCCGCCGACTCCACTTTAAACAATAATTAATCAATCAAAAGAAATGAAGCAGAAGTTGTTTGACATCATTTTTAAATTCTAAAAGTGGATTTACATGTTACCTGAGCTTCAGCATTCATACACCTTTCGCCTGTCTTCCTCTTGAACATGAAATTGTTATCTACCTGTAGTAAATGGTAGAGTGCACATCAAGTATATTTAACACCCCGGACTTTGAAGCCTTCTTCTCTCGGATAAACTTTGTATTATATGTATCTACTCGTATCATTAATTAAGTCTGCTTTCCACAAATATAACCTTGGATAAAACTGATGACTTCTGGGATGCTGTTTTAACTTAAAAAGGAGAAGAGTCATATTTGAATATTATAAAGTAATACTGGAATTTAATAAATTGGAGGCTATACTTTACTTTAGTTTCATTCACTGATATCATGCAAAAATAATCACGTTCAGTTGATTTTTTGAGATATTTTTTTCAAAATATAATCAGATATGATCAGATACAAGTAAATCACAGACCTAAGGGAAAAGGTAGACGTTCAATAAATGAAGTCTGTAAAAAGATTTTTAATTAAAAACACAGAACCCTGACAGCTTTATTATAATTCTCTCAAGTAAAGTTGGGCTTCCAATGAATAATCAAACTTATTAAAACTCGGTATAATCACACTCAAATTCCAGTAAGCCATTGATAAATCTTGATTTAAATCTTGAAAACAAAATCCATATATGTATATATTTTGAGTGATTTTACTTCAGAAAGCAAATATTCTAGGAATATCATTTGATGATTAAATTGGGGTTTTTTTCTGGCGTTTCTTTACATTTTCTTACTCTAAGCTTCATACATCCATATAATTCCATCGGTGTTCAGCATTTCTCACAATCTTTAAATTCATATTGGGTACAAAAGTACAAAATAAATTTCTGTGTGTGTGTGTGTGTGTGTGAGGGGTTATGTGTGTGTGTGTGTGTGTGTGTGTGTATTTAATCAATAAAAATCCAATTTAAAACATGTACCTGTAAAAAAAGTCATTTTTAACTTTAATTCTAAGATCTCTTTCTATCACAGTATTTATTGATATTCTTACAGAGAGAAATATATGTTCAAGGATATATCAAAGTCATAGATTAAGACACATTCCACTCTTACATACTGATAGTAATAAATGGGAATTATGTCTAAATAAACTGAGATTCAGCTCATTCGTATCTGTAATGTATTCTATTCTACGGAAAATGTGAGTGTATTGTAGCATCCGGTTTTAGTTTGTAGATACAGTATTATTTTCTTTATGTCATAAAAACCATTAAATGTATTTTCACATTTGCTCCAAAAGTTTAAGAGTACAAGGAATATGGGAATGGAGTAATTCCATAACAATGGGACTTAATCATGAGTTGCGTTAAATATCATGACCTTTAATTTGGACAAATAATCAGTTCGTACTGACCACAGGAATTAAAGGAAAATAATAAGGTTATGCTGCATGGATTATATGACGTGTTCTCCACCAATTGTTAGGTCATTGTTTTTGTACAAGCTAAGTTTAACTACGGATTACTTCATTTACCTGATCAACATGGAGAGCCACGCAGTTTTTCTGACTGGTCAACAGATGATGCTTACTGCTAAGCATCTGATCCCACTCCTGGTTTTCCCAGGGTTTTTTAGGGGGTTGGGGGTCCCTGTTCACGTTTCGTATTATTTACTGGTTTAATGAGATTGATCATTGTTCATTATCTCCCCTTTGATATTAAAGACTACAATATACCGTAATTAGGAATAAATTAGACATACAAACCTGGAAAACGGAATTTTTAAACTACTACATTATGACAAAATTCAAACAAATATGAATCAATCCAATGATTTTTGACAACTTATTAGGCCATCGTTTACATATATCCTCTTGCATACTAAAAAATCCCAAGGAACTTTTGGAACATTTGAAATCACAAAATTTTACCAAAATCAACAACTGTACAATAAAAAATTACGACTTTTCAACTTTATATACAACTATTCCCTACGATAATTTAAAGTCCAGATTTTCTGACATTGTTGACAGCTGCTTTTTCAATAAAAATGTAACTCGTAAATTTGCTTACCTTATCATTGGTCATATGCAAATTGTAACAATCACTATTATACTTGTACATATTATTTGTATTTCCCGCGTTTTGTCCCTATGCCCCATCTACCCATAAGCCCTTGCAAAATAGCTTGGCCGACCAGAACAATTGAGGCCTGGTCATTCCCGGCAGAGAAGCGTAGCTGCAGACACGTTTCTACAATCGAAGCAGCTAGTGTACATGCAAATAGCTGCCATACAATCAGTATCTTGACTTTGGCACGGAGACAGGTCCGTGGTAAGTATTTACTTATAATATTATTAATATTCGTTATGTATATAGTTTTTTTAGGTAAATTTATTACTGAATACGTATTCGTTCTTATTTCTGAACTTGGCCAGCTCTCACAATTTTACCTGTTGTTCAGTCAGGTGTGACGGTTAGCGAGAGTGTTCGAATGGCTTTTGTATTATATCGATAGAGTTTAAGGTTTTACCAAAGGTCAACATGTCCAAAAATTTATTTTTACAATAGCTCCAAAACTATGCGGTTTATACAGTTCAAACTTTTACAGTTTATAAATATGTCATTGATTAACAGATAGAAAGTATCACTTAATAACAAATACTTAAAAAATATATTTATCGAGAAAAATTCTTTTTAAAAAATGCATATATTTTTAAAAAAAAATACACCTAATTAATTCCGTACTTTTAGTGAAAGCAATCATTGCAGAAACAATATATGTTTATCAATGAAGGGCAAGATGGACTTCGATAGCCTCTGGAAAGTTGTTTTCCCTGTTTATTTTGTCCAAATGTTAAGATTTGAAACCGAAAGTACATTGCAAATGGCGGATTTTATAGGGGTCTTGTCTTTATACATGTCATGCTTTCAATAACAGCCTTTCAGAGACCATTCACGTCCAACTTGCCCTTCATTGATAAACATATATTATTTCTACCATGATGGTTTTCACTAAAAGTACAGAATTAAGCAGGTGCATTTTTTTTTAATATGCATTTTTAAAAAAAAAATTTCTCAAGAAATATTTTTTTTTAAATATTTGTTTTCAAGTGATACTTTCTATCTGTTAATCAATGATATATTTATAAACTGTAAAAGTTTTAACTTTAACTTTATACCTCATATAGTTTTGGAGCTATTGCAAAAATAAATTTTTGGATATCTTAACCTTTGGCAAAACCTTAAAGGTGTTTTTGTACGCAATTTTCTTGTATTCAGATTTGTTACATTATGTGAAATATTTTGTCCATTTAAATTTTGGTTTAAATGTCTGGGCGGAAGTGAATGATCGGAAGTCGAAAGTAAGGTGCGCCATGTTGGCAATAATTTGTTTTGACTTATGTTAACTGGTAGCCATTATAATTCATACCTATTGATTGATTGATTTATTTATGAGAATGAATTGCCAAACATAGTAGTGTTGCCAAACATTATTTAGTGAAACATGTGACTTAAAAATATTCGTCATTGTAGCGTCAAGGACACTGGTATGACATGTGCTGGATACATGCACTAAGCTGAGGGGATCGTCGAGACACAGCGAAAGGTTCCAGGATTAAGGCCAGGAAGGATGCTGTGTGTGGTTCAAGATTCAGTGGTGGTGGACAGATACAGATAAGTCAATCCACGTAACATTGTATTAGCTCGATAAACGAACACTGAAGAATTGGCAAATCTGATATATGATTTCATTCCTGCATCGAGGATGAGGATGATGATGTTGACGAAGATGATGTTGATGATGATGATGATGATGATGACAAGGATAATCATTAATCTGTGAACATGTTTGGCATTGACACTTTGAGTGAAATCTATACCCTTGGTTAATTGGTTAATTGTCTGATTATTGGTTACCAATTGCTTTTTTTTCTTTGTTTAATAGTGTGAAAGAGTGTGTGGATCAGAGCGTGGTTGTTTGTTTGAAATCTTCTTTATTATTATTATTATTATTATTTTTTTTTGTAAATAAATTTGTTAAAACTTAGTTGAATTTGTGTGATTTTTGGAGATAGCCAGCTTGACCACGTGACACAAATTTACTTTGTTAAAAAACATTCTGATTGTACACACAAGTACTCTGAAGTTGACATTAAGAAGATGCTCGAGTTTCTGATTGACAATATCTATGTGGTTTTTGGAGACCAGGTCTTCCAACAATCTATTGGAATTACCATGGGTTCCAATTGCGCCCCGTTATTAGCAGACTTTTTTTGTATTCATATGAAGCAGAATTTGTTCAAAATCTTGTACGTGAAAAGAAGAAAACACTTGCTGTGGCCTTCAACTCGACATTTAGATATATCGAAGACGTACTGTCAATTAACAATGGTTATTTCCATTCTTATGTCGATACGATATATCCCGGTGAGCTTGAGATAAAAGATACCACAGAGTCTGACACATCTGTTTCATATTTGGATATTTTATTAGAAAAAGACGTTAATGGTTATCTAACAACAAAACTTGATGACAAACATGATGGCTTTAACTTTTCAATCGTCAACTTCCCTTACTTGTGCAGCAATATACCCTTATCACCTGCATACGGGGTTTATATCTCTCAGTTGATTCGATACGCAAGAGCATGTTCTACGTATGGACAATTTCTAAAACGAGGTAAATTATTGACAAACAAGTTGATGAAACAAGAATATCAGCAGTCTCGTTTAAAGTCATCATTTTGTAAGTTCTATGGTCGATACAATGACCTTGTCAGCAAATACAATCTTTCATTAAGTCAAATGCTGAATGACTTCTTTCATACTAATTGTTAGACCATTATTTACATACTGATTTGTCGACGGATTTTCCGTTATTTCCCGATCATGACAAGGAGCACGCGACAGGTGTGACCGGTCGGCAGGGGATGCTCACTCCTCCAGGGCACCTGATCCCACCTCTGATGTCTTAGAGGTCCGTGTTTGCCCTACTCCTATTTTTTACTGTCTAATGTACTTTTGAGCTCGAATACTGTTCGTTATGTCCACATATTTCATGTAATAAAAGGCCGAAAGAACACTGGAAAATAAGCCAAGAAAAGTGCAATGGTATGACAAATAAAGGGAAACAAATTAAAAACCCAACCATAACGAAATTTTCTTTGATATATTAGGTAACATACTTATAAACTTGCTGTTAAAAGTATTCAATATGCCACAAAATAAATGTAGGAATTATTTTCAAAAAAAAATTCAAAAGATATTCGTTTCTTTCTTAAGTACCACAGAAGGCATTCACAAAGCCAACAAACATTAAAAACGCGCCGAATTTTAACTGTAAATTGTCTTGCATCTTTACGTATGACGTACTTTTAAGGTTACATGTCATGAATCTCTCCAGTATTGGATCTTGAAATCATGGCCTCTTTAGTTCATCACCGAAATCAATTAGGCATTATTCTATTTGTCATCTTTTTAGATCTTTTTATTGAAAAAGTGTGTGACCCTTTTTTTATATTCATTATCTCAGTGAAAAAATATTTTACATAGTCAAAACATACATGTATACATCCTTCATACTTAACCGACAGGGAATAAATACATAAAAAACATTATATAAAGCCTGAAAGACATCCACCTGGCAATTTGTTTGCCTGATTATAATGAGTATTGTACTTTTTACCAAGATATAATAATCGCGTTACATGGATCTAGTTTTCTAGCCCCAAGGTGCGGTTAATTTGTTCTGTACTGAAAAACCATCTTTAAAAAGATTCTTTACTTTACTGAAAGACATTTAGCAAAAAAAACCGTTTGCATGTTTAAATGTTAGCAAATATAACCTTTCATTGGGTCGTATTTCGTCTGACTTGTTTCATGCCTACTGTTCGGCCTTTGTTTTTACACTGAATTTGACTACGGAAGGTTCCGTCGTCTACCTGATCAATACATAGGACATAGGACGTCGGAGTGTGACCGGTCAACAGGGGATACTTACTCCTCCTTAGCTCCTGATCCCACCTCGGGAATTTCCAGGAGTCTGTATTTTATGCCCTCCTCAAAGAATTGTATTGCTTGTGGATTTTTAGATCGATCACTGTTTGTTATCTCCATCTCTTTCGTTATCTCTCTATCAAAATTGTACATTCATGGCACCTTGCCCTATTGTAAAGTCCCAAGGCTGAGGCTAAGTTGATCATATCTTAAACTTTACTATTTTTTGCTATACAGTGTAGCTTATTTTCTTTACTCCAGTACTCCTAGGAGACAAATCACATGAATATGCAAATGAATATAGAATTAAACAAACTTAAAGTCACATGAGGCCAGATTAACAGTTCCTGGTGGAGCTGAAGAGGCCATAGCCTGAAAAATCGTGATGCTCAGATGACCGCAAAGGTCCATGGGACCCTTTTTTTCCTTTTGATTCATATACATGTATGACCTTTTAAAACAAATCAAGTCTATTCCATGAGGTTCCAAGTACTAATTAAAATATTATGAAGCAAAAATTATATACAGTGCGGACATACATTTCCTGACGCAGATTGTTTAAATTCATCTTTCTCTTTACAATACTCGTATTTTATTTCGCTTTGATTTCCAGACAAAAAAAAATTATATTCATTTATAAAGTTTCACTTTTACATGCCATCGATTGTCTGTATTGAAAACATCCAAACGAATAAAGAAAATAGGAATTAGCTATGAATCTATGAAAATAATACTGTGATACGAAAAAGATATAAAAGCCGAAAGAGCCATTTCTGTTCCATAGGTACATGTTTTAAACCCTCTATTCATGGATTCCGGGCTGAAGTGGGTGATATCTATTTGATAAAATGTCTTAAATAGCCACATAATGCGATGTATTGATGAAATGAAAATAAAAAAAGTTTTAAAAAGTTAAGCATTTATATTAAAAATCGATGTGTAGTTAAGAAATTGTAATAACAGAGGTATAGTGAAAAGGCTGATGTGTTCGAAAGTTTCAAATTCAAATGATTATACTTCTGTCAAATTTTTCTTCCAAAATACAGAGCAATTTCCCACAATTGATCGGAATACTTGTTTATCTCATCGTCAGAGGACCTAATATCAGGAATGTACGGTATTATTGCTAGTTCTGTCCTCTCCGAAATTTTCTTGGATCGATGGGTCAGTTGGTCAATATCGTACTCTTTCACTCTACAAACTTCTATTTGCATTGTACGCCAGACTTTATTTTCTAATTTTAAGTCTACATTTGAGTATATTGCTGTTTCTTTTTCCCTTATATAGGTAACACGATCAGAACGTACGGAAAAGTCATCCCCGGTTCTCTGTATGAGAGGTCTAGTACTATGTTGAAGCCATTCGTTTCCTTTCATTTCCATGAAGGTTTTCTTCGTCAAATTCCTATTCGAAAGAATTTTGCACCTAGCACCATATTCTGCATGAGAATTGTCGGGTGAATGTAAGCGGATTATTTGACCAAGGAACCATTTTATTTCAGGAGCATTATATCGCAGGATATTTAAATGTTCATCGAAATCGAAAAGACCCTCGTTACCAATTCTCACTTTTACTGTTCTCTGTGTATTGATTTTGACAAAATTTGTTTTGAGAATTGTCTTCAGGTCTCCTGTCTGTTTATACATAGGTAGAAACGAGAAAGAGTAAGGTACACATCCCATTTTATAGCCACGACAACGCCTCTCTTCAAAGTTTCTCAAATGATCATTCAATTCTGAAACTGTCGTATGATTTTCATTAATGTCCATAACATAAAATGCTCCAAATACTAGAGCAATGCCCAGATCACCATGAAAAACATCCCTGTAATCATTTCTGATTTTTCTCCACTGTGAATGGAATGCTTTTTGAAAATTGTTTCCATCATTTGTCCCACTGTGAGATTCCAAAATTGGAAGGTATTTAGGTTTTTCTATATGATGCTTTTGGCAAGGACCATGGTAGATTTGAAAATCTACTAGATCGTCATTCTGTGTTCATCCTTCAAAAATGACCGTTAGTGCTTCATCCACCATCGTTTGTCCAAATTTGGCATATGTGATGCCTTTAGCAATAGAATTTGTCGACATATCATATAGAGCCTTATAGACCTGCTCAAGTTGGAGATTCGTGCCTATTGCTTCTAGTTTCAAAGCCATAAATTTCTTGAACTCTACAGAGTAGATAAAAATGTCTGCGCCAGTCTTTTCCTTTAATTTGAATTCTACATAAGGTGTCGCGAACTCAATCGCACTCCGAGACTCGATTGGCAATAGCATAGATTCGGACGTGATAAATTGCTCCTTCTCTTCATGTCCGGATGTTTCTACTGATAAGCGAAAAGTAATTTCTACGTATTTGACCAAACATGTTCTTAAAATTTCCACAGTATTATTTATTAGCCAATGTATTGAACATTCTGGCAAGTCTGAAAAAGCCACGATATTTCTTAGATAAAGCCTGGCGTTTTTCAAGCTATCAAGTAGAACACTTGCTTTTCCTTTTTTTTGAATGCCGATTTTCCTATTAGTAGATTGTATTACAAGCAGTAAAGGCAACATATGTTCGACGGCATCAGCTAATTTGTTACCTGTTAAACTTTCCCGAAATTCCTCAGTAAGGAACTGGACATCCGATGTTAGAAATGAATATTTTTCGAGCACTTTATTGACGATTTTGCTTTTATTTATAATCATGTCATCTGTAATGATTATTATCAATCCATCCATACCATCTTCAAGTTTAAAAGGAAAACATAATTTTCCACTAAATGTATCGATTTCTATAGGGATAGTAGAATTTGAAAGCCTCTGTATGGTTGAGATTATTGGTTTTAAGTCCCCTCTTGTCATTCCCAAATACTGATTGTGATCACCAGGTAGAACGATGCCATTTCCAGATAAAGCAAGCCATTCTAAATGCAGGTTACGGGGTATATTTTGTTCAACCAATTGAACGCAAACATTGTAAGCACTTAAAACCTTTCATTCGATCTTTCTCCGATTGTTTCATTCTCTTTTCCAGGGATAATTCTATTCTCTTTAAGGAATTGATTTGTATTTGCTCGTACTTCTTCAATGATAGAATATCAGCAACAATCCATGGAAAACTTAATAGAAGACGACTGGACCTTGTCTGATTTTTATATGTAACAGTGTACCATGCTGAGGCCTTTCGAATCATTTGTTCCAATGACTCATTTTTCATTTCTTCTCCACCAAATTCTTCAAAGAAAATCGCCCTTGTTCTTTTAAATAGCATAGATACTTTTTCACGGACTATTTTCCCTATCTGAAATTTTTCGTCTTTCAGAAATCCCCTTTTATGTCTCAGTGTTTGTATAATCCCACTGATTGCCCCAGATTCAGTTTTCAGGCCATACTCATTCATTATGTCTATCAATTTGTTATTATAGAGATTTCTTTGTAAATTTCCATCTTCAGTTTCCTTGGTAGTCAATGACGATACAAAGTCATCATCAATTTGGAAATCTATTCGAAAAGCATTCTCTCTTTGGGTGACTTGGTGTAATTGCGTACACTGGCGGTACAATTTTCCAAGGACTTTGGGCGAGTAATATGGCAATTTATCAATTTTCATCATAAAATCTGGATATTTTTGAGGACGAATATCTGTGTCCATTTGTGCAAATATCCCAGTTTTTGGAAAATCAACCGCATCGGAATGTTTTTGTGCCAGTTCAAGACAGGAGACCGAAAATATGCCTTCTTGTTCACTGTCTGCCATAGCTAGGTGAGCATTAGCTATGATTCCTAAGTTGTCATTTTTTATGTAATTGGCCAAAAAATCAACAATATGAGTCAGCTGAACATCAGAATCTAAAAAAATTTTCTCTGCCTTTGGGAAATCCATTGGGTCTCTATTTTCAATTCTGTGAAACCTTTCATCCCAGCAAACAAAATACTCGTCACCATCAAGATCTGATCCAGACATTTCGTCGGGATGAGGTCGGGAACCAAGCTGAGGGAAAACAATGCAGTCTACCATATGCTTAAGAGCAGGAATATATACTGCTTCAAAAACTCGGAGATCCCCAGGATGGAAACATGGATTCTTTGTGACCACTACTTTCCCTTGAACAATCTGAACATCTTTTACGGGCTGGTTTATTTCTTTCGAATACTGAATGAACACTTGTCCATACTTAAGAGATTGAGTTTCATCTGAAGTTCCCATCATGTACCTTCCTTTGTCCAATGGTATTTGAATCCGTGATCTCTTCTTAAGATCATCCACTCTCTGTTCAAATATTGCTAAAAGTAGAGACCGTAAGAAAGGCTCTCGAACGATGCTTACCTTTTTGTCAAGTAGTCTTTTAAAATCTGTTGCTAGTGATAACTGAAATTAATACATAAACTTTTTTCAGGTTCTGAAATTTACAAAATTTCATTTGGGAACAGAATTTAATTTGTTTTTATATGAAAACATAATAAGATATTTAGAAGATATAAAAATGCCGAAACTGTTTTCTAAATTGTTTGTCATTTCACATGCATTGAATTTATTTAATCACCTCTTGTAAACTCGACAGAGCCTTGTCGTCGTGGAGAAACATATCCGCCAAATCAAATATCATCGTCTCTTGGAGTTCTTGGAATATTTCATCTGGAATTCCAAGTCCAGATAACAACGTTATAACTTGTCTATTCAGGTGAAGTCGTCCTGTAAAAAATAATGAAGATAATGAAGATCGGCCATACCTACACGTACACAAGGAGAGAAAATGAGATTAATTCATTTGGAATAGCCTATGTGTATACCTTAAAACTTCTTTCTTTCTTTCTTTTTTTTCATTTTGGGACCCTTTCGCACCAAAAGACAATTAGTTGAATGTTATTTTATCATTTACTACACCGATGAAAGAAAGTCAGTTTTACTTACATACCAAAATAATACGAGATATTTTCATTTTGCATAACCACTGTGTTTATCATTAAATGTTCAGGTTTCTCCTTTTTTTGGAATCTACAAACTGTTCTCGCCAACAGACATTTTTAAAAAGACATAGTTTAATTCATCAAGCTTCATAACTTCATTTAAAACCTTGTAACTCGTTTATAAAACACCATTGCAATTAAATTTAGAAAAAAAGCATTTTGACCAAAATATGTGAGGAAAAGGAAATCATTTAGCTGATACCTGGACGTGAGACCTGTAAGACTTCCAGACTTGTAGAACTGGATTCAAACTTTTTCATACTTTCCCTAATGACAAGAACTTCCCTCTCCGTTCCCAAAGAGGGATCTTGTGCGACCACACCTTTACATCCACCATAGCGTATCTGGAACGCAGACGGTACGGCCTTCTGTCTCATTACCTTGGCAACCTAAGTTACAGGTTACAATAATTTATAGCAAAAGTCGTAAAAATCAGAAAGGAATTTGTTCGTGATAGAATCGTTTTACTCACTGGTTCAAAACATGCTCATTTGGAGTGTTTTTACAATGTGATACAATATAATACTAGTATTTCAAGATATTTTAAGAAAAAGAAGATGAACTTTTTATTTTGTTTCCTTTTTCTTTTCAATTTTATTTTCTCAACATTTCCTTCTTGGACATTATAATAATTGAACTTTTGTAGCATTAATTTGATATATAAAAAGAAGGGATGCATCTATAATCCCTGATTTTTGTTTTCAAATGCAAGGAGTTCTCCTTTTCCATGCTTTGTCTGATATTAATATATCCAAAGGGAAAAGAAAAAATATTGACAATGTTCCTCGTTAGCCACTCTTCTTTCAGATACTATTGATTAATTCTAAATTAAATACATTGGTACAATTAGTAATTGAATGAATTATTTGAAATGATTTCAAAAAGAAATCATAGATTTTTGATTCTGCAGAATCGGTTTTTCACAAATATAATCTGTTACAATTCTTGTAAATTATATACCAAGATAATTTTCTTTTCCTCGTTGCTAACGGGAATTTTTGTCTGTGTTTTTTGCCAGGACAAGTATATGTATCTAACAGGTACGAGTTCTTTAAAAATGTTTCAATTATTATACAACATTTACATCCACTGAATATCATCAACTTTATTTCTTTTGAAAACCACGGTCGCTCATCAATCAGTAAACGCCTGTAAGCACACCACCTGTAAAGATTTCTTGAGCAGCGGCACTTCCATCAATAAAGCATACAATGTCAAACATATTAATAATACAATAATTAACGTGCTTGATTTTTCATGATGTGGTTATTTATTCAAATATGAATAATAAAATGTCTCTCTTTATTTGTTAATACGGGATTTAACGTTGCAGCTATTGAAGAAAAAAATTACATACGTTATGTTTTTTCTGCAAGAGCTGCAACATTAATTACCATACTAACAACCAAAGAAAGCATTCTAACGTTTAAAATATAACTACCTTGGCAGCGAGTTTTGTTGAAATCTTTCCAATGCCATCGGTAAAGCAAAATCCATTTCTTTTGACATCACTCTCATAATGTACCTCTTCCGCATTTTCTCCTATGTTTAACGTGTGGAAAGATGATGAAAAGCAGAGTCCAAAACGGGATACATATGAAGCAACACATCTTTCTTTATATAGGTCACCAGCGTTTTGTCTAATTGATTCTGTTGTAATTCCACCATACGAACTGAAGAACCAAAAACTATATTCTCGAAGTTGACTGTTGGAACAGCCTAAAAACGAGTAATGGCGGTCATAAATGGTGAAACCGTCCACGAAAATCCGTTTCATATCAACTAATACATCGCTAAGTGTACTCGACTGCATTGAGCTGATTTTTTCAAAGTTATCATCTCTATACACAAGCCTAACAAAGAAATCTTCATTGTATTGGCGAAAAATTCTATTTTGAAATACTGGTTCCTTAGGCATGAAAATAAATTTCGTTGGTGTTAGCAATACCCTCCTTACCATTGAATAATTTTGAAGATTGTCAGCCCCATTATCAGGACTCTCATGATCAATCATTTTCATCGCTGCATTTACCTGTTCAATAAAATGGAAGAAGGGTTTCTCAGCAACGTTTTCCATCATTTTGAAAAGCACTTGTGCTGTTACTTTTCTTTGGTACAGTTCATGTATGATTTCTCGAGTAATGTGATCCATAACTTTATATCCCATAGAAAACAACGATTTCCAGGCGTACTCTAATTCAAAATCTCTAAAATATGGTTTAATCTCTTCCTTGGGATTTTCAACTTTCATTCGTGCGTAAACAATATGAATGCCTCGGTACTGTATATACCAAATTATCCTAGCCATTACCAGACAATCAGTTCTAAGCTTCAGACTAAAACAATCTAAATAACCAAATTTCGAAAAGCCAGCTTTACTGGCCGGTATCCGAACTGGTCTTGGTTCATCATCCAGCTTGTGAAAATATTTGTCCTTGAATAATTTAGGGCTAGATCTCACATTAAAGTACAAAAAGGTGTAACTGTTTTGCATATCTATTGTGACATAGTCGTGTATGAAGTCTTTTGTTATATTAAGCTCCATCCTAAATTCTGACTTTGTTATCATCAAAAGATTTTTTTCCTGTTGGAATTCTAATGATGCTTTTATATGCCAATGATTCACAAAAGTGACCGGAGAAATCATGCTTCCACCATAGATTTCTACAATGTTTTCATTCTCACAATATCGCTACTCTATGACGTCTCAACCGCGCAACTATGACGCCAAAGTCTACGACAATGTACGTGTAAAGAAAAGACAGAGGTAAAGGGAAATGTAATAAACAGAAAATTCAATGCTTTGTAGTTGGATATGATATTCGAACTCGTGAAAAAAAATATTTTTAAAAAATCCTGTCCACTCGTGAAATGAATTTCATATCCAACAACAAAGCATTAAATATCCTTAATTTATTTTTGCAAGAATAAAGTTTTTCATAAAGAGATATGAGGACTATATTTTAAAACACTCTTGTAGCACATATCTAATGTGCATTTAACAATGAAAATAAATTGTAGGTGCTAGAACTTTACACGGATGCAAAATAAAGAGATTAAAGAATAATTTTTATAATAAAAATTCTTTGTTCATTGAAAATTCCTATTGATCTAAAGGTATCATTTTTGCCATGAACACGTTTTCCGTTACACCCTTTCTTTAATTTTCAACACATTTTGATGAATGCTTTTTTTTTTCGAAAATCTTGTATATCCGACAGGCAGACAAACATAGGTGACAAATCACTTTCTATTAGTAGTTTAAGCTAAAGTAAGCATCTCATTGTTTTATCTAAATATGATGAATTGAATAATACTTCATGAATGTAAATGGTTTATATTCAATTGTATGAATTTATCCTAATAATGCCTACAAACAATTTTTTCTTCTTCTTCTTCTAGCGTGTATAGCGTGTATTGCAAGTATCCTAATGTCTAGACTGTCAATTATTAACTTAGTTCAAAGAAAATTTCTTAACATTATTTCGAATCGTTATATTGCTAAAAAGAAAAAAAGAAAGTAGCGTTTGCATTCATAGTTCCGTCTTATAGTATGATATTGATTAAATTGCATGAAAGTTAACATATAACAGAGATTTAAAGTTCTAAGCAAACAAAAATTTGACTTTCGTAAGTGCTCTTAGAAATGCCTCTGGGGAACGCGTTCATTACAACTGAAAATTACTGCATAATATGTAGACTGTTGCATGGATAAATTTTTGAATTCGCTTTTATCACCTTTCGTGTCTGTTAAGTAACTCAAATTGGTATAAATGAAAGTTTGCAATATAATTAATAGGACTGATAAAGATAATTGTAGAGGGCTACCTCTCATTCACACGTTTCGAAGTAAGACGTGGTCTGTTTTATATCATTGTGGTGTACCATCACGATTTAAAACAGTTTCTTTATTTAAATATCGTTCTCCATCCTCTTTTGACAAATAAATGATATGACTAGTTTGTCTGTCTACTATACAATTAAAACGTTAGCAGAGAAAAAGAATGTAATTAGACGTTACAAAATATATGGAAAACATGTTGAGATACATGAAATACTTATTTTAACTAGGTTTCCTAAATGGCAATTGTAGGAAATGGAATTAAATATTTGATTAATGTTTTGTCAATTATGACTAACAATTAAAATTCTTATTAAGATCCAGGATTGCAATTGAGTAAATGTATTTGCAACAGAATGCGAAAAAAATTGTTCACTTGAAAGTCAGAGTTACCAAATTTTAATTCCATCTTCAACAAATATGTTTTACTGACAGAGAAATACTTTCAACGTTTTGATTACAAATCTATCTTTGGTCGGTCTTCCTTTGTTTATCACCCTTATAGCAACTGGGAAACACTTGATTAATTTTCTAATAGATTCGCCGTTATTAAGATAAAACAAATTCAAAGTAAGACGTTCTTTCCGAGGATGAAATCTGCTTTACTTTGACTCGGCCATTTTCAACGAATTCCTCCTTTTCGTATCGATCGATAATGTAAAGTTTTATATAAGGTCCATCGATGATTATATAGAATTTGAAATAGAAAACTTACATGCCTATATTTGATTATCAATAGTGTTCATTGACGGGGAACAGTATTTAATATTTCTATGTGTGAAAAGAAATGTCTTACCATTTGAGCTGTTTTATTGACGGTCTTGATGTGCTGTCAAACAAAGTGCTGTTGTATACACTTCTTTTAGAATGGAAAATCAATCTGAAAATCAATTTACTTATAAGTAACAGGTCTGTAGAAAACGATGAAAATCAGCGATGATTATCTTTTCTGAATGCTTGATTTATTTAAAGCTTTTGATTTCTTAAATAACATTCAAAAGCTATCCAGACCTGACATACGTAGATAAAACCATAATTCTAAATATATACATTTGTGGTATCTCTCTATTATATAAACATGCAGAGAGCAAATATCTTCATACCTGTATGAAGTTTTTCGAAGGTCATAGGTCATTACGTGACCTAATCTCACAGCGCAGTAATATCTACATAAAAAGATTTACTCCACTAAGCAAGATAGCATGTTTTTCATGCATAAAAATGTACAAAATACGCAAGTAAAATAATAATCATTTTATTTACAATGTAAACGAGTATTTAATACAGTTCTTGATCGATTTTACATAGAGAATAGAAAACTACATGTTATAAGTTTCATCAGGGACCTATAATATAGGTCTCTGGTTGCATGTCTGAGCTGCATAGTCTCAACGTTTACCCTTATTTTTCTCGCAGACCTCTGAATGCTATCTTTTTTTTCCATTAAACTTTACTCACAATAAATTTGAAAATCTGTTGAAAAATATCAATGTAATGCAATCACACCACAAACAGCTGACAAACACTGCACTTTGGAAGTTCGGTAGGCACACCGCCATCATCGAGATCGTTGTGACGTTGTCTTAACAATGTAAGCTGTCGCCCATGTCTCCATGTCAACATCATAAATTAATAAATATGCCTTACTGAAATCGTAGAATTTATGTTTTTGATCAAATTTTGTACTTGATTTTAAGTTATCTGGTCCGAACAAGTGTCTCCATCCATCCCTTTCCGACCGAAATTCCTCCAACTTTTTAGTATCAAACATCGGACGTGTTTCTTGTGTTTTTTAACATCGAATATGGGTTCTCATGAATACAAAAATTCCCAGACACCAATATGCTCACTATAATTGATCACAAGTAGCCTTTCACAGAATATTCCCTTCAAAACAGAATCCTTTGCCAGATGAATTTGAAGCGTAACCGCTTTTCAAGCCGATTTACACCTAGCGTAATTTGTCAAAATCTACGACGTACAGTTAGTGCAATATTTATATTCGATTACATTCGATTGTCCGTCTCAAACGTATATATAAGTAATAAATAACAAGTTTAAAAACTTCAATGGGAATTGAAGTGGGTCGGTACGTGATCAAATCTTCTGAGAAGGCCTTCGGCCTTCACAGGATTTGATCACGTGACCGACCCACTTCAATTCCCATTGAAGTTTTTAGACTTGTTATTTATTTCTTAAATAAAAGGAGTAAATTTGAAGTTTTAGAGATGTATTGTATTTTTTATATTTTAAAGCATTTATCTTGCCAAATGTTATCTTTTAAAATTAAATAAAGGATAGTAAATTGAAAGTCAAAAAAGGGGCAGAAAACTGAAATCAAATGAAATGTAGTAAATGAAATTTTTTTTTGAAGTTTTTTTAACGTTCGTCATAAAACACTTGTAACTTGTTATGACCCTTACCCTTTAAAAGGATAATACTATTAAACAAACAAGCAAGAATTTGATATTAAAGACTGCGTCTAGACAAAATTAGGGGGAAAAAATAGAAATATACAACAGAGTATAAGCAGAAAAAATACCGCTGGACGCATACCTAAAAAATTTACATAAATTGAAATGACAAGTAATCAATATAATTTGGGTCGAAGTGGTGATCAGAGATAAGAAATTACAGAAACATAAATGTGTTTGATGGAAAACGATATCTTTACTCTTTTTATAAATTTAAAAAGGACAGGAAAATGGTACTTCAATAAAGCAGATTCAAAAAGAAGTATTTCTGGTTTACTTAAACAAAAAACTAGATACTGTCATGAGACAGTAATACTCCACATAAATGTTTGTCTCTAAATGTACTCTCCCTTCTACCTTGGTATTGAAGAATCCACAATAGTTACTGTATTCTATAATCTACATAAATTGTATTCATGTATTAAATTGAGCAAAAACTGCACAGGTAGGCAAGTGGCCATTAGACCTCTTGTGTTAGTATTTCAATAATGAATTCATTACCGGTTTGAAATTTACTTGAGTTCTCTCTAGGAAGATTTTGGAAATGTACCTGGCGGTACAATGGATAGGGTTTAATCTAAACTATTCAGAGATTAACTGAAATTTTGCAAATCAAAACCTGGTGTACCTAAATATGCAACTAATTTTACTGTACTAATCTGAATTGTGTTGATATTCCCTACACTTTGATATGATAAGATCAATGATAAGCTATTGGAATAAAATAAAAAAAATCTTGTAAGTTTTTTCCGCTTTCACAAGAGGTATATTGTGAATCCAAGTTAAGAAGAATCTTTCTTCCTTGTCTACACGGTGCTTCATTAGTTTTCTCATCACCAATAATGATGGTATTTATAGTGATTTAACCTAATTTAGTCGAAGTACATCATATGGTTGAATGTTGTAAACCTAAATCAGGAATAAATCACAACGTGACCGTAGCTAACGAATATTCATTGTTTTCAGGCACGTAGGAAGCAATTTCAGTTTGGGGGGGGGGGGGGGGGGGGAGGGGGCACAGCCATACACTTACAGTTGAAGGGGCACTATCAACTACCAAAATTTCTTGACACGCAAAAAATAAAAAAAAAAAAAAAAAAAGGTCATCAGACGTTTTTATTGAGGGGGCACAAGCATATAGTATATATGTTTTCTATAGTCCTCTATTTATCGACAAAATTATTGGGGGCACGCCCCCCCCCGTGCCCCCCCCCCGGTTCCTTCGGCCATGTTTTGTGATATTTTTCAGAAAAATTTAAAATTATCAATCTTTTCATATATGAAAGATAAATAATAATTTGATCATATCCTCTTCATATCACAATAATGGCGTTCAATATCGTCCTCCCCAGGCCGAAACAACTGCATTTTTCCCACTGGAATGTTGCTTAATTTTTTTCTGTCTTATCTGATTTTCACCTTTAAAAAAAGCCTTGTAACATGTACCGCACAAGCTGAAAGAGCAAGTTCCACAACTTCACGCAAGATGAGGACGAAGTCAGAAAATACCAAATATTTATAAATTCACTTGCAAGCTCTTTCACTGCATTTTTACTACATGGATATCACTGTAATGAAGCTTCGCTCTAGATTTTCAAACTCGAAAGGAACTATCAACTTTTCGCCATTTTGTAAACAAAACATTGCATTCCGATCCAGGACACAATAAAAGATAGACAAAATGAGGAAGAAATCATTCCGAATTGATGATACTTTTTAATCTCTGTTGTTTTTTGTTTTTTGTTTTTTTTTCCCCCTTATATAATGCAGTGAACAAAAATCTGTCATATTGAAAACAATATGGCTGCTATGCAAATTTGCTAAATATAATACTATTTCTCTGTATGTAAATCAAACGTGCACTCAAAAATTATTTATTCAAATATTATATATAAAGGAGTAGAATTCGCACCTTGTATCACTTTCTGACGAAAAGCTACATGTAAATTGTTATAGCACTTTTAAACTTTTGGTCAGGAAAAAATATCTTAAATTATCACATACCTACATAGACATATTTATTTGTAAAGAACAGACCTTTTGACAAGGTGAGCGTTGTGGCCCATTACCATTTTTAAACTTACTGCAGGCCGGCGAGAAAAAATTAACAGCAGCCTCGGATGCGTGGGTGAACGACAACTTCATTAGCTTAAGTACACGTAACTGATACTTTAAAAATGTATTTTTAACCTGAAAATTAAAATAGTCAATGATGTGCACTAATTGCATTACATAATAATCACATAATCGGAAATGCTTGATAACAATAATTTGCATCGGAGCTTTATTATCAAATTGAACATAAACGAGGTTGCTGAGATCCATCCTTGTTTCTGATACCATTAGTTTGTGCAGCTCATGCAGCTTCATCAACATTGTTGTATACTATATCACTTACATATACCTCTGACACCAATCAGAGATTCCTAGTTATCTTCCCCGTTCGGAGTTTGGGATCTTCGCTTCCGTACAAAGCACTTAAAAGTCAATACATCTGCTGTCAGGGATATTGGTACTGAAATAGATTTATGTATTCTATGACAAATGAGTTCACTAATTTTACCATATTATGTGTTTTGTTTTTTATTCTGTTGGATGCACATGTCAGAGAGACTTCCGATGTGTCGTGAAACTTTGCAAATAGGAAATCTTTAAACGCTTTAGAGTGAATTATAAAGAGAAAACTACATCGTGTTCTGGACTAATGCGTCTATTTGAACAGTGACTTATTGAGTTTATAAAATGGCGTACCATCAGGTTCTTGTAGTCTTAACATGGACAATACCATGTATCTCCTTTTTCATTTATATTGCTGTAGGTCAACCAAATGAAGCCTCAAACCGCTTATCAGTAGACATCAGGAAAAACTATAACAAAATGATTCGAGGAGTGCAGGATATGAGAGAGGTAACCTACCTTTATTTTTGGTTTAATCTGATTCGTATTGCTGAATTTGACGAAGTGAACGGAAAACTATCAGTGGTAGGATATTTTGAAATATTCTGGAATGATTACAGGATGAGATGGGAACCAGCAGAATATAATTACACTAACAAAATTCTTTTCAAGGAAAAAGAAGTATGGAGACCCTTGATTGTTTTAGTTACACCCCAAGATAAGTTCAAAATACTTGGCGACAATGACAATTTCGTAATAAGATATAACCCAAGGGGTCGAGCAGAATGGTATCCCGGGGACATTTGGGCGTCATCATGCACACCAGATATGTATAAATACCCCTTCGACACACAGTCTTGCTTGATATCCTTTACTATATGGGACTATGACATAAATGAAGTCCAGTTTATTGCTTTATCTGACAAAATTAGTTTGCACGTGTACTCTTCTCATGGTATGTGGGATTTGATAGAAACATCGATGCAGGTCGACATCGATAGGGAACTCAATCTGACGCTCATAGATATTACTTTGATTTTGAAGAGGATTTCCACATTCCACATAGTTAATATGATCCTTCCTATTGTGTTTGTTGGATTGCTCAATATCCTCGTTTTCCTTCTTCCTGCTCTGTCTGGAGAAAGAGTCGGCTACTCCATCACCGTGTTACTCGCTATTGCAGTCTTTCAAACAATCGCCTTTGAAAAGCTTCCAAGCGTTTCTAAGCCTAATCTTCCTTTGCTCTGCATTAAACTCTTAACCGACCTAATTCTGAGTGCTTTAGTAATGACGTTTACAATCATGACGCTATATTTTTATCACATGCCAGAATCTCGTAATGTGCCCTCGGGTGTTGCATGTGTAACAAGATTTGTGTTGTGCAAAACCTGTTGTAGAAGCAATGTTAACGACACTGTCAAAGACAAGTACTATAAATACACTATCAGAAATGGGATCGGTATAACAGAATATGTATCAGATAGTGATTACCATCAGACCGAGGTCACGTGGACAGATGTTGGTAAAAGTAGTGATATTGTATTTGCCGTGTTTTCTTTATTAGCCTTTATTAGTTCAAATGGCGTATTCTTCGTGTGTGTAGCATTTTAAATATAATTTTTATAATTTGACTTTTTTTTACTTTAAATTTACAATCCAGTTATAGAGCCTATATTTGCTGCATGCGATCCATGTGTAATTTTGATTCAATAACAATATAATTAAGACAGTTTGGTAGGAATGTTTGGGAAATGTTTTAAGGGACTAGGCAAAATTTATCACCATGATGGGACCGGTACAAAAAAAATTCTCATTAAAAAAATTACATATCCCATGGCTTTCGTATTGAAAAAAAAATATTTGTCCCATGCCTTTAGACTTATAAAAAAGTTACTGTCCCATGGTTAAATCTTGAAGTGAGATTATTGTTACATTAAAAGTTTAAATCTAAAGTTTAAACTTATCTATAACTATCTCTTATCTAATCTTTAGATTTAAACTTTTAATGTTACATTATTGCAAAAAAAAACAACAACAACAAAACAAAACAAACAAACAAACAAACAAACAAAAAACAAAAACAAAAAAAGAGTACAATGTTAACAATTACTTTTATATATTAACTTAAGGAGTCTTTCAGATTACAGGTATTTCAAACATTGATGAAAGTTTTAGTTTAAAATATTTTTTTTTTTCATTATAAATGAATTGGATCGAACAGCAGGCATAAATGCCTATAATTGTTCTATGAAAGTTGTCTGAATGGATGAAACTTGAGAGACCATTCGTGTAAAATACATGATTGATTTTGGTTGTTTTAGAGATGTTACTCTAGAATTTGTTAGCAGTATATTTTGAATGATTTATTGAAGTAATTTGTTTGTTCATGTTCATAACTCTTATTAACATCGTTTGTTACTTTGTTATTTTTGCATGCAGTATTAATTTGAAGATTTATGTTGCACTTTGTATCCTTTGTTTGACTTTAAAAGATATAATGACTTTTTGAAGAATTTATTTTTTAGAAGATAAAATATGTTTAAATATAATAAATGTGTCTCTTGAGTGAAGTACTGTAACTCATTTAAAAAGTGTTTGTCCCATGGCTACTTAATGCTAAAAATATGTTTTTTGTCCCATGGTTTTCTTCGATGAAAAAATTCATTGTCCCATGCCTGTTTGTACCATTATTGTGATAAATTTTGCCTGGTCCCTAAGTAAAAAAAATTGTCTCTATGCTTAAAACTACAGTCGTTATTCTTGGTTATTAAGAGTTGATATTTAGTAGGAATTATAATGGAATGCTGTTTGTACTAAAATATTGGGTAGACGAGAATTCACTTCGAGGAAGCTATACACTAGACAAAATTGCTATCGCACCAACAAAGAAAATTCATATTTCACTTTATAAAACTTACTTACGGTGTATTTGATATATGATAATGGTGTTTTAGTAAAGCAAGAGGCATTTAAATGTGATAACTGATAAATAACTACAATTTAATGTTAACCATTTCATAGAAAAAAATGAAAATCGTGCCTTTACATTTTTGGAGGAATATATATATATATATATTTTTTTTGGTCTTTGTATTTGTGTTCTTTATGTTTGTACTAATTAAAAACTCAGAAAAAGTATTCCACAATATGCGGCGTTTGACCCTTGAAGAGTGTGCTAAAGCAATCAGTATGGTGTCTGCAGGGGGGTTCCTTCTGATAACTTTGTAAAAAAAAAATCAAAAAAATAAATAATAAAAATGATTAAAACAATTTAAAAATTATTCATTCCTCTAGCGAAACATTGTCGCAAAAAAGATTACCAAACATAAAAATGTATACTATAGATAGTCACGGCATTAAGTAAGCACAAAAAGAGAATTTCTAGACTGCTTCTGATGCAACCTCTCGGACCACCATCAGTAGTCACCAACTTCATATCTGGGCAAAAACATACGTCCCGAAATCAGTTTTCGGCAAGAAGGTCATTCAAGGGTCTTGTCATGACACCAAGACATTTGTCGCTTCCATTGTATTGGAAAAGATAGCATATTAGATATACTAGTACCAATTAAGCAAATGTTCATAATACATGCATACATAACAAGTTGTCTAGTGTACCGATATATGTCATTGTCTTCTTTAATATATATATATATACTAACATGGCGAAAGCGCTTGCAGAAAATATTTTGTGATTTTTTGGATTTTTATTTTTAATATATATATATATATATATATATATATATATATATATATATATATATATATATATATATATATATATATATATATATATATATATATATTAAAAATAAAAATCCAAAAAATCACAAAATATTTTCTGCAAGCGCTTTCGCCATGTTAGGCTCTTCAGGCAGTTATACAAATGTCAGGTAGGTTACCTGGTAACGTCCAAAAGCAAAAGTTCATTGTGACGTCATAATAGATCAAGGTAGCGTAAAGTTGCCGTATTAGATAATGTACAAATATAAAATAATAATAATGTACAAATATTAGATAAAGTTGCCGTATTAGATAATGTACAAATATGAAAAGTTTAATACAACCAAATGATATTATCAATAGTCGACGACAGGCACCCAATCTTAAAAAAATGTTAACCAAGGCCCGTTTTACTACACAGGTGGAAATTCCAACCATTAAAAAATGCGGAGATCCAAGATGCAGAACGTGTACATATTTAGAAGAGGGAAATAGAATCCAACTTAAATCAGGAATGGAAATTAGAACCAATTCACCAATGAACTGTAAATCCGAAAACGTTATCTACTGTGCAATCTGTCCGACATGCAAAGAATTCTATATTGGACAAACGGGGAAACTAAATGCCCGGGTTCGTGTACACAAGCAACAAATTAAAGACCCTAGTGTGCGTAATACACCATGTTGTGAACATTTTGCAAAATGCGGCAAAGGAATATTTAAGATTTTCCCTTTTTATAAACTTCCCAATGAAAATGAAAATCTACGTTTGGCAAAAGAGGACTACTTTATCAAACTCTTTAAACCAAAGCTTAATCGAAAATGATACATTATTATATAACATATTGTAAGATTTTATGCATATTATGTGTTCAAGTTAATGCAATATTTGTACATTATCTAATACGGCAACTTTACGCTACCTTGATCTATCATGACGTCACAATGAACTTTTGCTTTTGGACGTTACCAGGTAACCTACCTGACATTTGTATAACTGCCTGAAGAGCCTAACATAGCGAAAGCGCTTGCAGAAAATATTTTGTGATTTTTTGGATTTTTATTTTTAATACACCCAGCAAAACTGTACCGGTTCTTCATTTTGTTTTTGAAATTATATATATATATATATATATATATATATATATATATATATATATATATATATATATATATATATATATATATGGCTGCCGTCATGAGAAAAGGGCCCTTAAGGTAAAAATTTCACAAATTGACTTTTTGATAAATTTTGATAGCCTGACTCTTTCTGAATACAAATATACATCAATTTTTAAAATATCTCACGTTTTTAGTATTTTATGAGCATTTTAGTGAGGCCGTTTCAAAACAACGTTGACGTTATTTACTGAATACGTAATGACGTCGCATGCGTCAAACATTCTTTAAAACTACATTTTTTTAAATAACCTTTATCGTTTAGACACATATAAACTTGAGAATTTATCTTTTTTCCAAGCAACTAGTATGTGATTATTCATGAGGGAAGTCGCATACTATTTTCATACTATATTAGAGCAGATTTAGTAGTCTTGTAAAGGGAGGAGTGGGGGTCTAGACAGGATCTAGGAACAGTTTTTATTCAGTCGAAAAATTAATTCTTGTTGAATTCCCAACAGTGTATTCTTTTTTTAATTAATACTCTAGCTCATTTTATAAAAAGATATAAAGTACTTGTAATATTAAAATATATATTAAAAAAAATCTATATAGATTTCCCAGAGGGGCACCTCGTTCAATTAAAGCGGGGCATCCCCTCGCAAAAGAACACATCGATCCCGATATAAAAAAAAAATATTTTCACAGAGGCACATAATGATGTCAAGGATTGTTTTAGGAACGTTTATTCAGTACATGAAAGTTTAAATTTTTTGTCAACTTCTTACTTTTTTAAGTAAATCACACTTAATCAAAAGCGGTTATAAATATTTCTATACTTTTGTTTTATTTTGAGGCAGCTGTGCCCTCGACGCTACTGCTTTATCACTTGAACACATCAATTATCGTTCATCATTTCTTAAAAGGGCCTTTAATTTAAAACAACACAACCAAACAAACAATATCGTTTACGTATATATTGTATAATTTGATCAAAGAGATGCTTGTACTGCTCAAATATATATTCATACTAAACAGACTTTTCTGAGCGAAATGAAATACGGTTGCATTATTACATTTTTTATGAAATCTATTAGAAATTGAAACCGAATATCTTGCGAGACTTAACAGGCCCGTAGAATGAAGGGGGAGGGGGGGCAGAGGGGGCCTACCCCCACTTTTTCTGAGTATAGTAATTTGCTATAGCAAATTTTCCTTTTATAGGTGCCCCCCCCCCCTCAAATTTTGATTTTTGTTGTAATGTGGAGCACTGGCAAATTCCAGGATTTTTACAGATAAGGTTTTCCTTTTTTTCTGCTTGTCAGATTATTTTAAGAAGTCCCCCCCCCCCCCACCCAACACCACACTCTTGAGTCAGTGTTGGTATTTTTTTTTTTTTTTTTTTTTGCTTGTCATATTTTTGGAGGAAGCCCCCCCCCCCCAACTTTTGAAACTGTAGCTACGGTCCTGCTTGAATATATGTATTTTAACATAATTAAGGTCCTCTGATCATCTTCCTCTGTGGTATCAGCTAACCTGACACCTAAGCTTTCATATACTTCGGTGCGATGAAATGTACATAAAATTATATTCTTAAACAAGAATTAAATATTACGTCCAACACACATGTTTATACTTTTTTGTATATGAGGCGATTCGGTTAAGCAATATCCCATTGAATGTTTGTAACTCTACCACTCTAACTTGACCTTCATAGGCGACGTAGTATCTGATTTTGTCTTGAAATCTAAAGATAAATTATACAAACC